TATTCGTCTGTGGCGGTGCAGATTATGTAACTGTAATGTAACTATCTATTTCCATGTAACAAGCTGGCTGTATTGGGTTTTCGCCAGAACAGCTAACAAGTTGCTTGCATTGCTAGTCTTCACGGTCTGTTACCTGTTGCCCACTGCATTTATTTTCCGGATAGGTCCAATCAAATACGACTAGAAATAAGAACTCGACTATCATTTAAGGGGTTATCCGCGGGCTCACGTAAAAAGGAAGCTTATCATGCTTTAAACTTATGCGCTGAAAGTGTAGGGTATTTGCCCCTCGAGTTTAACGTACATGCGTTTACTCTCTAAATAACGAGGCCGCGATTTTGCAGGAACTTCAGCCATTCAATTCTAACTGATCTATTATTCTCGCACAGCTAGGAATTTTCCGATGGTGTGACAAGGAGTCTAGTTAGGTCGGCGAGGGTTGGACTACGCGGCTGAATAGCAAATTTTGTACAGACTGATAATAACTAAGCACAAGTGAAATATTATGTTTGAAAATATGATTTAGTTGCCCTTTCAATTGGCCCCAGATCTGGTGCATCTCTGAGAAGGCTTCAATTCTATCTAAGCCTGTCGTAGTAACGCTATATCAATATCCGCGAAATGAGGCCCGATCTGTCTCAGGGTCAGCTTCTGTCTCTATAGGTCACGTAACTTTCGTTTGTTCTTTGCACTAAGCCTCTGCCGGGGCTTGTAGCTGTTCAAACTATTAGAATGATGCTGGAGCGACTGAGTTTGTGCCTTGAATCTAGTGAGGGTTCTGCGAGGGCCACTGGGAGGGGCTTGATCATCAACAGATAGGTTTCCCTCGCTACCTTCTCCCCGTGTAAGTGGATAACTTGGATAACTCTCCCACTTAAATTCCGCAGTAACGGCTTGGTCATAGGTCGACAAAGAGGTGAGACATTGCAGTCCTTTTCTCTCATTAGCTTTAGTGATAGCACAGTATCTAGAAGGCTGACTGGCAAAGCTTAGAGCGGGAGGTTGCGGCTGTTTTATGCCTATGACGGATATTTCGGTGGCCTCGTCCTCTTCTGGTGGGAAAATGAGTGAATTTGGCTGGATGATAACTGGGTCATAAGATCGGCGTGTATTGTCGGTGTTGAATTCGGGAGGTTCGAGGATTCGAGGATCAATGGCCTCAAGACCTGGAGTTGTTGGCCCCGAGCTGGGTGTGGGACTTGCCTCTAAGAAGTATAGTTCCACTGAGTTGCTTCTGCTCCTCGTGCTATATTTGTCACACATACTTGGCCCCGAGTATTGTTCCAGATTGTCTTCGATAAACGGAAGTAAGACTGGGACGGGGATAAATGATTCTTCTGACACGTGCTCACGCTTATGGCACGGAGGTGTGTAATGATGAAATCTGATCTTCTTGGGATGCTCCTCTCCTGGTTCTGTTGAAGAGTATTGTGATTCCACCTTGCAAGTGCGCTTCCTTTTGTTGGGTAGCTTTGGATCTTGCCATATGGTTTCCTTTAGCCCATGCGCATCGTGTAGGTGATTTCGAAGGTCACGCTCATTTTTAAAGATTTGAGAGTATCCGCATATCGGCTTTTTCTTGAAGTGCTGAATCTCAGCTATGTGCTGCCCTTCAATGTGTTCTCTCAGGTTCTCACTTCGCAGCCAGGATCGCAAACGGGTTTCTGCGGAGAGATTTAGGTTCGGGTCCCACAAGCAAAAGGGGTAATAGCCCGGGCGAATGACGGTATGGCGATGGATGATTACTTCGTAGTGCTGGATTTGCCATGACTAGAGATAGGAATCGCAATGCTTCCGCCATTGACTCGACAAAAACCATTCTATACATTTATAGCAAAACCGCATCTCTGATTCTGATATTTGAAGGTCAGAAGCTTTCTCACGCCGAATATATCCGTGAATATAGGCACTTCTATCACACTTCCTTAGACTAGCGGAGTTAGTATTAGCCATGTCATTATTTAGCTAGGGCACTTACCTTGCAATGCTGATATGGCACCCTTTTGTAGGACAAAGCCCATGAACCGGACTTTGATTTGGGAGGTATACTATATTAAAATCACGGGCACACTGCGTCTATAGATCTTGGACAAGAAGAAGTTTTTCGTCAAAAGAAAGCTCTTTGGTGCAGGATATAGCTGTTGCGATTCGCGCAACCTCGGGCATAATCAACATTTGAGCGCGTGTGCGAATGTCATTTTCTAAATGAGTCGGCTCTTCTTTTCCTCGATTAATAATTTTCTGGTCTCTTTTCTCCTATACCCACCGATTTTGATATTGCTTAAGTTCGAATAGGCGATGCCGAACGAGCGCCTTCCTGTATTCCAAATTCATGTTCTTGAGGGAATCCTCGTCGTGGTTCTACGCGAATGATTCGATCTGGGCTCTCATTTCCACCATATCTGGTTTTTCTAAAATACTCCCTTTTATCTCTGCTAGTAACTCGCCTGGCAAGCCACGTTCGTAATATTGAACATAACCTTAAAAGTACTCGATATGATCGGATTGGTCTTCCTCATCTAGAACGGCTCCCACTATATCTATGGAGGAACAGTGGGCTTGATAATGCTCCGGAAAGGTGCCTAGGCCCCGATGCGCCATAATCTGACTAACAGGTGCAGAGCCATTTCTCTCTGTAGAAATCTTAGTATGAAGATCTCTCTCGAGTGTCTATTGATTATTTTGTGTGGTGTAAGGGGCTTACTTTCGATTTTTTTCCCAAGGCCTCGTCGTATACAATGGATAGTTGCCAGTTCACCAAAGTACCCTGCAGCATTAAAAATCTGACGTAGGCAAGAACAAAATTTTTGTTTCGTCAAAGGTGTCTCCTGAGGCCCGTCCGCCGTGGCATGCCTGAGAACTGGTTTATCCAAGTACTCTTCCTTCCATCGCAAATGAATCTCGCCATTTGAAAGATCAAACTGCGCTAGATCATCCACGGTATCCACCCCATAAATAGCACCGTGTGCTAATGCAAGGGAGAAAAGAAGGTAGCCCGACGCAAATTGCGGCCTATTGCTATCCCGGATACCGATTCCGAATCTAGAAGCACCAGTTAATGAAGCCCTAGTATATTCGACAATTATACCACTAGGTCCTTCTGACTTACACTGTGTATTTTTCACATCGATGATTTTTGAGCCACTTCTGATCCACCTTCCAACCCACCGCCTAACGAGCTGTGGATGAAGGAAATAGTACCAATTTGATATGCTAGAATAGAGGTTAGTGTTATATAATATCGCTGGGGTAAAGAAGCTTACTCTGTATCGAAGACCTCTTTCGTGTTTGTCCTCACTAGAGGGTACAAAAGCTCCGACTCTTGCTCTAGTGAAGAGGAACAGCTGGAGAGCAAACAAGATAACGACTTTGAGCAGTCCCGGAATGAAAGTTTGGTGATCAGTCTGCCACAAAGACGAGACTGCTCTTAAAAAATCATGCCTTGTGAAGTTAAGTTTCTCTTTCTTTTGGTCTACAACGACGCCATCTGCCGTCAAGGTTTTTTTGATCCACTGCATCGAGGTTAGTTTATGATGGTCTTAGAGGGGAAGTTGCGAATAAACCAACCATTTTTATTTCCTTTCGATCATCTGGGATGATTTTACTTTTTGTGAATTGTTCAAATCCACCAAAGAATTGTTCGGTATGCGCACTCACGGTTCTTACCGTAGGTAGCCCATCATCGTTTAGTCGCCCTTGAGTAGAACTTGCGTACCAGCGAATGTACGCCTTGATCATCTCATGAGTTGGAGCCGGAGAACCAAGGGAGGTTTGGTAATATTCAAACCCATTCTCCGGGTCTGCAGTGAAACTAAAGGAAGGTCAGCTGAATTTATAATAGGAAAGGGATTGCCACTTCAGATGCGGCTTAACTCACTCGAGCCAGAGGTTCATAGTTTCTTGATGTAATTTGTTGGTCTTGGGGAGCCTTTTATCTTTCTCCCGAATTAAGTCCTCCTCTCTATGGACCCCAGGAGTATAACCATTCTTTTCTCGCTGTAGACGGCGCCTCTCCTTGGCGATTCCATCGCGCTTGGCAAAAAATTCTTTTCTGCCCATAATCAAGTGCGGTGCGACCTGGAGGTAGGGAATGTATTCAAAGTAAAAGAATGCGATATTAGATCATATACCAAATAAAAAGTGCTTGAATAGAAGGCGTGTTGATTATTACATGCTAAAGCTGGCACACGGTCTGTCTTTATATTTGGGACTTTGAGCTCGAGCCGCTCTGAATGAATTAGAAGACAGAAGAAAGACATCATGAAACGGATGGAGTTCTCCGCTCTTTCCTACGCCCCTTCGTCATAATGTGTTTTCTTGATGAGGTGTAGTGCGCCGGAAAATGAGGGCAGCAGCAATGCTATCAACGAACTAACTATCACAGTATAAACGACCCTGTGGGGGCTAATCCCTTCTGGGTATAGTCTGAGGTGGGCTGAGTGCATCAGTGTTGCTCACTGATTGGACACTGAGCATCACTGAGTAATCAGAGAGCATCCAATGAGCACTCACTGAGCACTCACTGAGCATCAGTCATCCTGCACGTGACTGATCTGAGCATGATCACTGATCTGAGCCCGTGCTGACATCTACTCAGTGAGCCTGAGCCTGAGCACCCTCATAAAAGCGGCGGCAGCTCAAATAGGAAAGCCCCACCCGCCAGGGAATATCCGGTACGTATAGGTGCATATAGGATGATGCGGATGTCAAATAAAAATACCGGGGACTGAAAGCATAATTCCCCGACATCGGCTAAAGCCGACCTTCTCAAGAGGGGCAACCTTCGCCCTTTAATGCCAAACAGTTCAGAAAATCCAGCCGGATATTTTTCCAGTTAAATACCTTTCACTAGGTGATCTAAAATCCACATCGTGTAATCGCCGTCATACTCTTTGTTGTTTCACACATCTCTCATCCGACCCGGAAACTGATTCCCGCATTGAACCATATATACCCACTCACCTGCTCAATACAATCACACATATCCTCTATCCTACATCATGATTTCCGGAATCGCCCACATCAACCTCACAATCCCTCGGGGTACATTAGAACAAGCCGAGGAGTTCTACGGGACAACTCTCGGACTCACTTCGGCACCGGTACCGGAGCTCCAGAAGGGGACAATCTTATGGTATTGAATCGAGCTATTTGTCCAAAAACACTCATTTCTAATGTTATCAATAGGTTCGACATCGGCTCTAGCGGACAGCAAGTGCATATTAGCTTCGGTGCAACTGATCCCCAAGCTACCCGGCACCCATGCTTCAAGCTGTCTTCCCGTGAGGAACTAGAGGAGATTAAAGGAAGCATCTATGATCATCATGTGCGTGGTGGTCCTGCAGCCCCAATGGCTGCTGATAAGCCTGGTGAGGTGAACTCTGGTGAGATTTCTTTGATACATACTGCGTATGACTATTTGCTGATTGCCGCTACAGGGACTCAAGGGAAAGAATATCCTACGCGGTTCTTCGCTCGGGATTTCGGGGGGAACTTGCTTGAATTTACTATGTAAATATTTGTGTTGATTTGAACCGAGTTTGCGTCTATGAAAGGAGATGATCAACCGAGTCACTATTTTAACAATGGCTAGAATATCAATGAAGAAACAGTCCAATTATCATTTTGAGCCAACTGAATTCAGAATATGGGTTTACCATTGCTTTATATCAGTCTATAAGTCAATTCACAAGTCCTCTATATATGGTTTGGTCTCTCTAAACAATCACCTCACCACTCCTCGTCTCAACATCCCCCAACTCCTCCCCACGATCCCTCCTCTCCCTCACAAGCTCCCTTCCAAATATCAAACTCCAAAGATAAGACTCATTAACAACCTCATGACCACCCTTCTTCAAAATCCACACATTCCCAAGGAAAGTAGTAAGCAAAACAGACAGCCACATAAACGGCAACATGGCTATAAAAGCCCACATAATACCACCCTTAGCATCTTTTTCTCCAGCCCCGCTCTTATTTGTAAACACCGTCGACATAATAGTCAACCCAAGCAACCCTCCAAATGGAACAGCAAACGAAGCAAGACACGAGATCTGCGCCGTCATTGCAGGGAAATACGCCAGCCCGTGCATTGACGCCGGGTTCATTCGCATCCCGACGCCATGTCCAACTAGGGCCATCATGCCGTAGATGACACTTGTTTTGCCTGTGTTCACACCCCATGCTAGCACGGTCATTCCTATTGCTGACGTTATGCTGCCTAGGAGAAGGGCTGGGAGGGTTTGGCGCGGCCAGACGTTTGAGGAGAACATTGCCATGTAAAGTCCGGCTGGTTGAGTTAGTAAAGATTGTTCCATATAGTCGATAGTAAATAGGGAGATACACATACCAGCTAAGCCAGGAAGGAAGTATAACAGTGCGATACCGGCATCGCTAGAGCTCCTCCCTTCCACCAGCGTAAAGTATATATCCATGAAGTACATGACAGCAAACATGCATATACCGACCGAGAAATTGACCAGGAACAGCAAGCCAATATCACGCTGTCTCAGTAACTCCCACGGCATCATAGCCTTCTGGCGTGGGAGTACCCTTGCCATTAATGAGCCAGGCAACATACAACGCTCGTAAACAACCCAAGCAATTACTAGAATCCCGCCTATCACCAGCGGCGCTAGAACAGCAGCAGAATTCCAGGAATATGTACCACCCGCCCAAGTCAAAGCGAGGATAAGCAGACCGAATCCCCATAGGAAGAGCATCTGTCCACCATAGTCGATAGTCGATATCCTCGCAAGAAACCGTCCAGACGGAGTCAAGCCACCTCCCCCCTCGAGTTCAGGAATAGGCTGCGGACCCTGCAATTCAGTTCTCAAAACAAGAACGACGATAATCATAGCTATAACGGCGATTGGCAGATTGATCGCGAAACACCAGCGCCACGACGCCTGCGTCAGATACCCGCCGATCACGGGGCCTATGCTAAATCCGATACCAGAGACAAGAGCAAATATCGTCCAGTTGACTGCGTACTCGGTGAGAGAGACGCGGTCGGCGAGGATAGTTCGGATAGAGATATTGACTCCTGCAGCGCCGACTCCTTGGAGGGCGCGGCCGACGAGGAGGACGCTGAATGCTGATGTTGGGGCTCCTGTGCAGATTGCGGAACCAATCATCATGATAAAGATTGCGGATTGGAGGACGATGTGTCGGCCGAAGAGGTCGGTTAGTTGGGCCCAGAAGAAGAGGAAGGCGGCGGATGTGAGGTTGAAGACGGAGATGATCCAGTTTAGTTGTTTGATTTGGTCTGAGTGGTTAGTTGGGGTTTTTTAGTGGAAGATGTTGTGGCACGTACTGAAATCCTCTGCGATGAATGGTAGAGCTGAGGCTACGATTGTTGTATCCAGGGCTTGGAGGCAGTATGGACTGAATAGGCCCAGGATGATCTTCCAGCGGTAGACATTTTTTCGTCGTTTCTCGGCGACTTGTTCGGGGGTGCGGGTTTTCCTTTTCTTTCCGTCAGGTTGTGGAAGATCGACTGTGTCTAGTTCAACTTCATTGTCTGGTGTTGAGACTGCAGAATCTAGGCGTTTCCGCTCATTGCGTTTCTTGATTTTCTTGTAGATCAGAAACATGAGATCGATGGGATACAGATGAGCAAGGATAACCGCTTCCAAGACACGGCTTGGGGAGATTCAATCATCCTTATACCCTCGACTGCGTACTCCATACCTTTCTGGAAATAAGAGAAGAAGATGGCTAAGCCTTAAGAGGATCTGATATTGATCTAATTTGGGTTTAGCGTGCAGTCTAAGCCTCTACTCTCAGCCCCTGGAGTCCGTATTGAGAAACCAGTGCGAAGTCAGTCTTCAGAACTACCTATTTAAGTAATGACTGCGAAGCGAGAATTGTTATGATTTCGAGTTTTTCGTATTCCAACGTCAGCACTCGCACTGCTGCCCGTATCGGGACACCGATACGATATTCAGATTTCGTTTCATTGCATATTACTTGCGACAAATGGTTTATTTAGAACAATAAATGCAGGGTTCTCGGACCGACCTCGGGAATTTTGCTACAGGGCGTAGTTAGCTTCAGTATCCATAAGTTTGTCGGCCTCGAGAAATGGATTAAATTTCTACCTTCTCTAAACCAACTGGACAACTTGATATCATTCGCAGATTTATACAACCTTGGAAGCACTGAAGTGACTTGCCTTATACATCTACAAAACTAAGTAACTGTTCACAGATCCCATTTAACAAAGTCTGAACTTCTGAAGCCACACTATGCTAAGCCATGCTGGTAAATGGGCCAGCCAACTGACGAATTAAAGCCGATCTAGTCCTGTTGCCTAGCCCCACCTGATACTTAGACATGTCATATGTGCAAAGTAACTCTAGAGCTAACGACCTTGTGCTTTCTATCTCAAACAACCTCACAAGAATACATCATTCACTATGGGAAATTCAACACCTACAGAACCAGCCCCCGCCTACGAAGACTTATTCCACGAGCGCGGTTCCAGCTCACGAAATGGCGTAAGCAAACCACTCTAGAAGGGATGGATTTTAAAGTCCAGCTAGCCCCATCAGTATCAGTATACTAACTACATATGTAACCATGAACAGTATGCCATGGTCAATCAAACAGACAACATCCATGAGCAGCGAGACGTGGAGCAGGGTCACCACGTTCACGGCGTCCCCGACGTGACGGCTGATACATCAGAGCCGGATCAACACACTCACTGTGCAGAATGTGATCGGCTACGGGAGCGCAGGGAAAGTCGCGAGAATGGACAGAGAGCTTGTGCTATGGTTGCGAAGACTTTCATCTTTATCTCTTTGTTTTTGATGATATTGGGGATTGTGGGTGTTCAGGCTTGGAAGGAGGTTCGTATGAAGAAGTTACATGGTTAGAATTGATGTTTAGTAGATGCTTCGTATGTTTTGATTTATGTGAAATGTATGCTATTATACCTTAAATTATGCGATATATGTCCCAGTCTGCAAATAGATTCCACGAACTAGAACTCGGGAATCGTGATATCACCCAACTGATTGATATCAATCGAAAGCGACCCTATAGGTGAATACATTCCATGCCAAGAGCTATCTTACCAGTATATAGCCCAATAATACTAGAAGCATTTCTCCATCTCCACCCTACGGCCCCCTAGCCCCTCAACCTGAACAGAACATGAAAATCTCTACTCCGTCCACAGGTACTAATATGCGCATCGAATCATTCCCAGGTATAGCTAAATCCCTTTAGCCCACATTCACCCTCATCCCCTCATCCCTAATCTATAAGCTAAAACTAACATGATCCCAGGTATCAGACCAGATCCAACCTCTTGAAAATGTTTGCCTGGCTCAAAGGTCTTTTCTCCAAATCAGAGCCGTCTAAACACTCAGAACCAGCAGAGCCAAAATTTAAAGGCAAGTCGCATAGTCGATCACATAGCAGAAAAGTTCGAGAACGCGAGCGCGATCTGCGACGAGAATGGACGGGTCAAAAGGGCGGGTGGAAGAAGTTTTATAGTAAGGGGGGTTATTCGGGGATGTGTTGAGGGTTGATTTTTCTATGGAGTATACATGAAGCTCCTATGGAATCATATCGCATAGCTGTACTGTTTACTACATTGCTTTCTATTATTGATGGAAAGAAGTTAATATTGAATATTGCATTGAATAACCGTCCTATATAGTATCCAAAACAAAAAACACCATGCGATCTGTAACAAAATATAAAAAGAAGAAAAGAAAAAAAAGAAAAAAAGAAAAAGCCATCAAGTCATAATAGATGGTTCTGTGCACATGTGCAATCAGATCTAAGCAGAACCAAGGTACTTAAGCACATTCTCACGTTCCTCGACAGGCAACATAGAAAGCACCTGCTGCACACCGCGCAGACCACCCTCCTTATTGCCAATAAGCAGCTGAGCAACCTCAGATGCAACGCCTTCAGTGCGGAGCGTCTCAATCTTGCTCTGAACAACCTTCTTGTTCTCCTCGTACCAAACAGCAACCTTTTGGTCATTGTGCTCGATTTCCTCGTTCAGCATACCAGTCCAGGCATGCAGGGTGCGCAGGTGCGCAGCACGAGCAGACTCGCCGAAAGCGTTGGCGCCGGGGGCTGGGGGCGCTGAGGCGGCGAGCATGCGCTTGACGATGGTCTCTTCGCTGAGACGGCGGCGGAGACGCCAGTAGAAGAAGCGACGGGAGTTGACCCACTGCAGAGGCTGGCGGATGACGTTCTTGGCTTGCATGCGTCCGGCGCGATCGTGCAGATCGGCGAATTGAAGCGCAATCTGCATGTACACGGGCAGGAGCTGCTCCTCGCGGGCGGCCATCTTCGCCTTGACTTCGCCGAGCTGGTCGTGGCTAAGGGAGGCGTCGGCCAGGGAGCGGCGGAGCTCGCCGTAGGTCGCGTCCAGACGGGCCATGGTATCCAGCTGCTTGTCGCGGCGGTACTTGATGTTCACCATACCCTCGGGCTCGAGAACACCACCGCGGGACTCTTCGTCGGCGTACATCTCCATCTGGTCGGGATTGATGGTGGGGTCGACGACGACCCAAGATCCACCGCGGAGCTCGCCATGGGGAGGAATGTACACAAAGATAGGCTGCTCGTACTTGACGAGAGCATCGACGATGTACGAACCGTACTTGAGGACCTCGTTGTACATGTCACGCTGGCCGCCGGAAAATCCTCTCCAGTTGGCCAGGATCATGACGGGCAGCTGCTCACCGTTGTTGAAGTCGCGCAAAGCCTGGGCGGTCTTGTATGCCGAGTTGGGGTACCAGACACCACCAGCCTCGGTGGAGATCATCTCCATGGAGTCGGGGTTGGCGGGATCAGCAGGGGTGACGTTCTCCACCGAGCGAGTCTCAACGGCGATTACACCCATTGGGATACCACCTAGGCGGGCACGACCGACAACGACGGTGCGAGCCCAGCCACCAAGGGCCTCCTCGAAGGAGTCCTTATCGAACAGACCAGGAAGGAAGCCGTCGACGTCCTCCTTGCCGCCGATGAGCCATCTGACATCATAGGTCTGCTTAGGAGGAGGGAAGTAGCCAACGTCACGGTCCCAGGTATCCGACCAGGCGCGAATGGGGATAGGGGCATTCTTCTTGTCGGGGACGAATGACATCCACTCAACAATCTTCTCAACACCCTCAAAGTCATCGTTGGCAGTCATGTGCGAAACACCGTTCTTGTACATGATCTGGGTACCACCGAGCTGAAGGTTGGAGGTGTAAACCTCGCGACCGAGCAGCTTGTTGATGGCAGGGGCACCAGTGAGGATGATGGGCTGGCCCTCAACCTGAATGGCACGCTGACCGAGACGCACAAGGTAAGCTCCGATACCGACAGAGCGGCAGGTAACAAGGGTGATGGTGAAGATGTCCTCGTAAGCCTTAGAGGTGGCACCGGCAATGAGACCGGAACCCTTCAGACACTCAACACCAAGACCGTCCTTGGCACCAATGACGGTAGTGATCTTGTGGCGCTCCTCACCCTCATCGTTGATGAGCTCGGTAATGACCTCCTTCTTCTTGCTGGCATCAAAGCGCTTCTTAACCTCGGGAGTGAGGTAAAGGTACTTGAAGCCGGCCTCGGGCTTCTCCGGGTTGTTCCAGGCGACCGAGAAGTAGGGGATGATCTCGTCGGCGACACCGATGCGGGCACCGGAGTTGGCAGACAAGTAGATACGGGGAATACCCAACTTGCGGGCAAGCTCAGTGCACTTGTGGAAGAACTTGTCTTCCTGGGGACCGAAGGATCCAATCTGGAAGGTGATGTCGTTGGCGACAATGATGAAACGTCTGCCGCGGGGATACTCGGGAGTACGGGCAGTGATGATCCAACCAACCATACCGTGAGCGTTGGTACCAGGCTCACGAGACACCTCAACAAGGTTGTCGGTGTCATCCAAGACCAGCTCGCTGTAGTCAATGCACTCTCCAACGGGAGGGCGCTTCTCGTACAAGGAAGGAATCTTCTCGGCAATCTTGGTCCAGCTGTTCTGGAAGGCCTGGCGGAAAAGCTCGGGGAAATCGTACACGTACTGAGTTCCCATCAAGTGAGCCTTGTAGCGCTTGGGCTGCAGCCACTCCTTGGTAGGGTAAGGGGTGGCGACAGGGCGCAGATGCATAGAGCCCAGCTTGGCGGTACCACCAATGCTCTGGAAAATCCACTCGCCCTTCTCGGACTTGCGCTCGATGTACAGCTCAACGTTGATGATGAAACCGTAGGTGTTGCTGATGATCACACGCAGGGGGTAGGGCATACCAGTAGCAGGGTCGGTGCAAAGGATGCGAATCTCTGCGCCAGTGACACGGAGACGCCACAGACGGCGGCCGAAGCGATCAAGGAAACCGGCCAGAGCTTGCTCAACATCTTCGGGCTGGAGGTTAAAGACGGGAGAGAAGTTGATGAAGATGTGGTTCAGATCAGAGTTGTTGTTGCCAATGATCTCCAGGGCATCCAGGATATCGTTCATGAGGCGGTCGGCCTCCGAGATCAGGTACTCAGCGGTGGGGATATCGTCGCGCAGACGACCGGGACGAACCACGGCACGAACGAAGTAGCGCTTGTCGATAGCCTTGTCGTTCTCAGGGCCCTTGCCAATAGCCTCGTAGACGTGAATGTTGCGGTTCTCGGTGAAGACGGGCTTGATGATGAACTTGGACAGACGGCCGAGCTCCAGCTGGAAGGCAAGAGCAGGCTCGCTGTGACGGATACTCAGATCCTCCTCGTAGTGGGGACCACGGAAGGTGAAGTAACCGGGATAGACACCTTGCTTGCCGCAGATGAAGGTAACGCGACGAACACGGCGGGCGAGAAGCTCATCCTTGTTGTCGGCGAGCAGCTGCTTCATCTGTTCAACGAGCTCCGAATCTTCCATGTCCTCAATATCGCGGATGGCAATGTTGCAGACTCCGGTGAGCTCGCTGTCACTCACGGGCTTAGGGGCGGGGCGACGCTTGCCTTCAAGGCTGGCAATGAGGCCCTGCTCGCTGGGACGCTTGACGTTGGAGCTGGCGAGAGGGAAGACCTCAAGAGCCTTGGAGAGAATCTCCTCAGCATCCTCCAAGTACTGCACGGGGATGATAACACCCTTGCGGACGGGGTCACTGGCAGCGTCGCTCACAAAGAGGGACATGTCGCCGATGGAGTTGATCCGTTTGAAGGGGTTGATCTCCGCAATGGGAGTACCCGGGGCGGAGGGCTGGGCGTTAAGAACACCGAACTCACGCTGGCCGAGCTTGCCAAGGGTGAAGTCCCAAGACAGGAAGGGCTGCTCATTGGAGGCGTTGTACTCGATACCCTTGAGAGTGTACGCACGGTAGGCACGGCGAACGTAAACTTCCAGAGAAGCGAGGGTAACCCAGGGGTCGGCGTGGACGAAGAAGCGAGGAAGAACGTCGAAGACAGTGTACTTCGAGTCGACGACCTCCTTCAAGACCGTCAAGGAAGGCTCGCGGTGCTCCCAGCCGGTCTCACCGTAGCGAGACTCGACAACGGAAGACCGCAGAATGTGCTCCATCTGCGACAGGCGCTCATCCAGAGAAGGCATAGCGCACTGGATAAGAACCTCACGGGCCTTGAGAGTAACCTTAGCGGAAGAGCGAGACTCAAGCTCGGTCAACAGCTTGAGAATAGGCTTGAAGTGCTTGCCAACATTCTCGACAAGGGGCTGGTTGGGGCGGTACATGTCCAAAATGGCCAGGATCAGGTTGTTCTTGGAACCGATGCGGCTGTGGGAGAGGACAGTGTGGACAATGCTAGTGATGTCGTCCTTGTTCTCCTCACGCAGCTTGAGAATGACATCCTCGTCGCGGAAGTTGTGGGTAGAGAACAGCTTCTCAACGTCGTAGTACTGCTGGAGCAAGCCAATGAAGACATT